ACTGCTACAGCCATAGCTGCCCTGAGGAAGACTGACCATGAAATGACTGAAAATAACATCTAAAAATATTCCCCTTATTTGGGACTACATCGTCTACACATATTACACAAATTCCCATAATTCTCACATCGCTCTATTATTATGTGCCAAAATCTAGCACTCAAATTTCAACCCAAAGTCCTTCCTTTTCCTCTTTACTTTTACTTGAAATACAAGATCAATCAATTTCCTCCTCTCAACTCTAAATTAACTCATAATACTGTGCGCCTTAGCCGGGACAGACAGTGTGGTTATTGAAGCCTGAAGCCAGCCCTCGCCACAGCGTCAGCGTCTGGTGTGTGCATCTGTCAGTTTGGTGCAAAGACGGAGGACTCGCTCATGTCAACTCTTCCAATACATTCCTTTATTTACATCCCTCCATCTGCTCTGCTGTCGGCACAATGTGTCAGGCCTCATTTCCAAAAAAACTGCAAATCTGTACTCTGGTCGTAAATCACAAAAGCTGCATGTGTTTACTCGCTGTTTCCCTCTGTGCAAGTTAATTTACAACGGGTCATTTTGAATAACAATAACAATATTTGCCAATGCTGTAAATACAACTGTTGTGGAAAATGTGGCCATAAACAAACATTGACTCAAAACATTTTGTGGATGTTAAACATGCTGTGTGTGGGTCCACAGAAAAGAGGTGTAGTGTGTGCTGGAGATCCATCATTCGTATTAAAGGAGACATATTATGCACCATTTTTGAGCATTTAAAATAATGCATTGCAGACCCAGAGCTTTTTAGATCCATCTGCGCTAATAAAAAGGAACTCTTGGCATAAACATGTAACTCCAAACCTTCAGTCTAAAAGCTCCTGTCTCAGTCCTGTAATAGTATGATGTCATTGTACCACACCGCTCAGAGCAGTTGTCTGCATTTTAAAACAAAAGTATTGCCCACAAATTAGTTTGTGAAATTACGTTTGCATGGTAGGGTTTGCAGCTGGTAATTTTTGAATTTGGAAAAAATGATACTCCTCCCTCTGGTGGTATCCTCGGAAGTTACAAGCAGTAAGCATGTTTAATCCTTCATATAGTTTCAGCATATGTTTTCTTAAGATATTGCTTCAGATTCTAAAACATTAAATGGCAAAGTGAATAGTCTCATCTCATTACAATTGAAATGTCCATAAATAATGCATAATATTTCTTTCTTTATATTTGGGACTCAAAATGGTATTTTGGTAAATAAAGCACTTTAAGTTATGCCTATTTCCGAAAATATCTTGTGAGCCTCGAAGCGTCTGGGGTATTGCTTATATTATGGACAGCAGATTTTAGCACTTTGATAATGAAAAATATAAACTGACCCCACACGTAGCATGTTAAATCCAAATTTGATTACCTGTTTTTGTAACACATACACATCTCTGAAACAAAACAACGGAGCAAAGTAAGTACAAAAAGAAACAAAGGCAATGTTTAAAGAGTGTACAGTGTAATAATCCATAATTATGTAACATACAGGATACAGGTATTTCTTTTAAATGCATAGAGGCCCTGAAGCTGAGGGGTAAAAAGCTGAGTCCATAGAAAGTGACTAGCATACATAAATAACCATCATTCATGATTTGTTGTGAGTGCAGTGTTAAAAGCAGGAGAAGATCAGAGCGCCATGGCGACAGCGTGGATTATGTCTCACCTGTCTATTTACATGTACGTGATGGAAAAATAATGACCAACATTTAGAATTACCATCCAGACTGTTTTCTTTTAAACATGCGTCTGTTTTGCTTTCCCTTTTCCTGCTTTTACCGTTCAACAGCAATAAACACAATTACCCAGAATGCAGAGGGTGACATGAATTATGCAGGAGAGGCATTTCAGAAGGACGCTGACTTTTCTGAATATCTATATTTGTACAAATATTTGTCGTACACATCTCAAGCACCACAGAACAAATGAGAGGCAGAACCAAGCAGAGACATATGCCTCTGATTTTGTCTTCACTTCATATTAAATACATTTATTTTAAATATATTATTCTTATCTATTCTGTCTAACTTGGCTTATACTACATTACCATTTGTTTTTCATCCCAAGATGAAATACTAAAAAATTGCAGTGCCCCATTTTCTTATTTGGCTCATTTTCAACCCTTTTGCCATTTGTGGACATGTGGCATAGTCTCTACAAGGTCCCATTGCACTCAGAGCGATGGATATTTCTTCTTACAAAACACACACATGACACATCTTTCACATTCTTTAAGATTAGAAGTGGAACAACACAGTACAAATAACAGACAATCTGTCGATGAATGTGCTCAACACTAAATTCAGGAAACATTTCTCTTTTAGCTTTTTCACCAAGGGATCAACACATTTCATTGCTTCGTGAACACAGAAATGCAATCACAAAAGCACCAGGGACATAAGAAGAGTGCACTATAAGAGAATGTGCGAGGGGCTCCGTTTGTGTACGGATTCAAGGTAAAAACATCACAAAACCTTTCATAAACACCCATCGGGTTTTGCAAAATTGCAGCCCATGTCCATGTACAATTTCCCAGTCATTATTAGATAGAAACACTGACTGAGAGAAAACATGACGTTAAAATAGCTGGAGTTATCTTACCAGTACTGGTAGCACCACACAGAGGTTAGGGTTACACAAAGGGACTACAGGTCACAAGGCACTTATCTTTTCACTACTCCTTTCTTCTTTGCAATTAGCTCAGTTTATCTGCAGTGAAAAGCAAAAGAAATGTCTTTGTCCAAGTGTTTGTCTATGGTCTTGACCCATAAAATCCTCAAAAATAGAAGAACAGAGGTTTCTGAAAAGATGGGATCTATTGACCTCCTTTGATCGCACTAACCAAGTTCTGAGAAAAAAATTGCTATATTTCCTTGATAATTTCCATCAAAGCCGACAAGTTTGTTGCTGTGAACACTGAACACATCCATTGCTTTTGTGATATGAATTCCATTAGGTCTTTGGGTGGGTTTCTGGCTCAGTTCTGATGCCTGGTTCTATCGGTGTTTGGATGACACGTCAAAGCATGTGACCATCATGAGGTGAGCTTTGCAGAAGTTCACTCTGGTCTCCAGTCGGTCAGTGACGATCTCCAGGGCTTGTAGATACTCCAGAGAGTCCGCCTCATAGACCTGCTGCAGCTCAACTGTGAGGACAGAACACACAAACAGCAAAACATCACAATCTCAATTTTGGTAGAATAAAGTTATTGTCACCTGAATTTAAACTGCAATTTTTTTTGAAAGCCGTCACAATGAGTTTTAAAGATGCAGTAAGCAATTTTGTTAGCTTAGCCGTAGCACCAACTCGAAACCACTCCCCCTCCCCTCGCCTCTCCACCAAACCAAACATCCGGCATTTTCTTTTCTTTGTCACAACAGGGAGAGTGAGCGGCAAACGTGAAATTGGCATTTTCTGTTCAGCCATTTTAGGTTTTAGAAAATCCGATAACTCAGATGCGCAAGAAACGGGAAGAGGGTTCGTTGAGGATGAACGAATCCCATTGGTTTATTTTTATCGGTCCGCTCCAAAATATATTTTATTATTTTTTGGAGACTATAGGCATCTAGTCAATTAAATTACTATTTGAAAACACATGATAACTTGACTAATTTTAGGGTTTAGGGTCATTTTCCCACAATATTTTAAATAATGCGTCGGGAAAAAATCACTGACTGGATCTTTGATAGGCAAACCAATAAATCTAGATAACAGCATAGTAGACACAAGTTAGACACATAGTTAGCATATAATAAACACATAGTAAGCAAATAATAAACACATAGTAAACACATAATAGACACATCGTAAACACATACTGTAATAAACACATAGTAAACACATAATAAACACATAGTAAACACATAATAAACACATAGTAAACACATAGTAAACACATAATAAACACATAATAAACACATAGTAAACACATAATAAACACATAGTAAACACATAGTAAACACATAGTAAACACATAGTAAACACATAGTAAACACATAATAAACACATAGTAAACACATAGTAAACACATAGTAAACACATAATAAACACATAGTAAACACATAGTAAACACATAGTAAACAGTGTACACTCACACTCGGTGGTCCAGGTCTGCGGCCCTAACATCAGGTGCTGCTTGGTCTGCTCCAGCTCCTTCTTCAGACTCTGATACTTGCTGATGACCTCACTGATGCGCTGCTGCCTGTTTTCAAGCTTTTTCAGCTTGGCACTCACACACACCAAGTCCTGATGTACAAAACACACATGATTAGATATGGCTTTGTTATCCAATCCAATTATGGTTGTCTTTTGGCAATACATTTATTCTGATTCTGATTCTGATTCTTTTCAACCATAATTGGACAAAGCTGAAGGATGTCTGAAGGATATCCACTTCTGCAGAGGTTATTGAGAGGATTATTTAGTGTTTTTTTCTCAATGTTGTTGTTAATGTTATTGAGAAATGCTTCTGATAAAACGTGCTATGCTTTGAACAAATAAAGTCCCTAAATGTCGGTCGCTGTTTCACCTTAGTGGCTGGGAGTTAAGTGGCATTTAAAACAGCGCTGAGGGTAAACTAACTCTGCCTTTTCTACTTCTCATTTCCCAAAGCTCACAATGCCCTCGCTCTAAATACATATAGATTTATGAGTCAAGGCAAAAACCTGAATTCATTTGAATCCTGTGGCACTCAGCAAGAAAATTGAATATTTTATGTAAAAACACACAAAAGAATAATCTATCCAGCTAAGATTGAATATTACCCACCCTCCATATTAAAACTCTTTCTCTTCTTGTCGGGGCTTATGTTGTGTGTCCTCTACATTATCTATGTTTCTCTGTGTCATTTTTCTAAACCACGTCTCGCTGCCCTCTCCTTGTACACAGTCATTATTCCACTGCTCACCTTGCTGCCTCTTCTCCTCTTCTGCAGCCGCTCCACATCGTCGATCTCATAAACCTTGATCTCAAAGGTTTCTGTCGTGGCTGATGGGACGCGGTGGTTAGTAGAGGACTGTGGTCCCAGTGGGCCGTCCACCCAGCATGCACCTGGGCTGGAGGAGGAGGAGGACGAGGAGGTGATGGCCTGTTTGGAGGAGCGGTGCGACGGTGAAAGAGATGCAGAGTCCAAGGTGAGAGCAGGGATGAGACGCCGGCGCTGGAGACCTAACAAGACAAAAACACTGGTATTAGTCACTGAAAATAATCAAGTGTTTTGTTTGTTTCCTTATTTTTTCTCTGAAACCCCTCCAACATGTTGTAAACAATTGAGCTGTCTGTCTGCAAACCATTTGGAGCAAAAACTAATGGCTGGACTCTTTGGCAAACTGATGCTCTGCAGTTTTGGCCTCTGTAGATGATCAAACCAGCAACACCATTGTCTGTTTTTCTGACCTTCCTGCTCCACTTCATGCTGAAAATATGTCGCACTATCCACTAAAAGATTTTTTTTCTTTTCCCAGAAGCTAAAACATCAACGTACTTTAAGTTTACAATGCTCCCAACTAGGGCTGTAATTATTCAAATCAGTTAGTTAGGCTGATTATTCAACTATTAATCGATTAGTTGTTTGGATCCTGAAAGGTCAGTGAATATGGGATTTTTTGATACAAAGCTCAAGTGATGCCTCTGGAGACACATTGAGTGGTTTGACTAAAAATACTTACTCATTCTTTTCATTTCCTTCTGCAGTCATAATAAAAATATTATCAGAGTCATTTAAAGACACTTTTCAGCATGTTCAAATTTAAGGTAAGTTCAAAAAAAGATTAATCAAAAACTACATGAGTAAATTATTTCAAAAATCAATTAGTTGCAATTAATAGTCCTACTCCCAACCAATACAAATAACTAGCTGGGTCAATGCACAATAATAAGGAGTATGAAAGATAGTGGGGAATTTAATGAGACGGAGGCTGTATGTTGGTCTCTGGGCAGAGCAGAAAGGTCAAGCAGAGACATTTGTATTTCCTTATAGTAGGAGTCAGCACATGAGGGAGCTGGAGCTGTCCAATGGATAAAAAGTGCTGGAAAATTAGGTTGGAAGGATGGGGAAAATGCCCACCGGAGATAAACACTGAAAAACAAGTTCATTACGTCTACATCTCTAACGTCGAGATGGTTGAAATGTGAACTGTGAAACCCTTTAGATGAACAGTAACTGGAGAGGATAAACAGAGCAGTCACAGCATACGGGTGCTGAGGAATATTGCAATTCATATCACTAATAAGAAAATGCCCTGCTTCTGTCTTATGTGATCACAGGCACAGATCCATTCCCTCTGCTCAGCGCACACATAGCAGGCTCTCCACGCTACAGTCTTGGGGAATATATGCCGTATTCATTAGAAACTGCAGCAGCACAATCCCTTCACCATTTCACAGATGGGTGCTCAGGGTCACCTTTCCTACCTGCCTCAACTACAGCGTTTGCAGTTTGTCCAGTGTGTGCCTCACTGAGAGGTAGCGCTGGATAATTTTACAGTCAGGGTCCCTTGCTTTACAGTTAGTGAGCATTACTGTTATAGTCCACATTGAGCGCATTAAATAAATGTGTGTGTGTTAGTGACAGACCTGTGTTGCTGCGACTCTTTTTGCTGCTCTTGGAGCTCCGCCGGGACGAAGAGGTGGCAGTGCTGTGGTCGCTCAGAGAGTCCTGAGCTGAAGAGGTGCTCCCTGTGTTTTCACTGCTGTCCCGGAGCATGCTCTCGTAGCCACTGCTGCCTCCGCTGTGGTAAAACAGCGCCGTTTTACCCATGGCTGGGGGTAGTTCTCCACTCAGAACACTACTGTAAGACAGATGCACGACATCTAGTCACAGTTTTAAAACATGTTTTATTCTGCAAAGACTCTAGGATACCTGTTGTCACTGGCATGGCCACTGCTGCAGCGATGGGATTTTCTGGGAGCTGTGATCTTGCTGTATGGAGAGGGTAACGTTTGAACCCCAGAAAGTCTCTCATCTCCTGGACCAGTATTCCCTGTTATTCCACAAGAACTAAAGCACATGGGGAATATAATAATAATTACTCTCTGTATAAATTAAGAATAAATACAAATAATAAATAGTTGAATTTCAAGATTCACATCCCCAATTGAACTTCGTATACTAATAATATACAAACTTGGAGACTGTCGTGGTTTTCTCTTCTACTGGTTCAGTACTTCCTTCTGGGGCCGTTGTCCTGGACCTGGATCCTTGAAGAAGCTCAGAGATGCGGCCGTTGACCGCTCTGAGAGGTAGTTTGGCAGCCAGACCTCCTCGACTGCGGCTCAAAGACTGTGTAGACCAAGGTCCAAGGACAGGAGCCTGCTGCTGAACAGGTGCTGGGACTGGTGGAGACTGAAGAAGAAATCACTGTCAATGAAGCCAAAAAAACAACAACTTGCATTTGTCACATGTAGGAGAAACTCTGTACCTTTCCGTTGGGTGGAAGGCTGGAGCTCCGACTGCTGGATTGGTTTAAAGACTTTGTGGAGAAACTTAGAGTTTTGGTGCTTGAAGTAGACAGACTCCGGCCTTTGGGGCTGGTCATTAGCAGCTTGCTGACAGCAGAGATTTTCGATTGGCAGCTGGTTTTAGCTGGTGACTGTGGAGCACTGCTGGGCCCCAGGCTGGGAGTGAGACTCGGGCTGGTGGTGCCTGAGGAGGACAGAGATCCAGTGCGGATGAGGCTGCGACCTGTTCGAGGCATCGCGCTGTCCCCTTTGGCTCCTGCCCTGAGACTCTCCCGTCGCTCCAGAGAGAAGCAGTCATAATGGTACACGCCGCTGTGAGAGCCCGTTCGCCCCAGAGAGTTGGTCCGGCTGGCGAGCTGTTCCAATTTTGCGCTGAAAAGTTTGCAACTGTCGATGCTAGCACCACGTTGCCTTGTGACTCCTGCAGCTAAACAGGATTCTTCCTGGAGAACAGGGTGGTGAAGTGGACTGATGGCACGATTCCTCTGATCCAGGCTGGATTTTCTCACTGGTGGCAGGGGAGGGATTCCGCCTTTTTTGTGGGAAAAAAGTCCAACTTTTCCGTTGGATCCCCGCCTGTCAAGAGTTGCACGTGGACTGCATGGAGTCGAGGAAATTTGCTTGAGATTTGTGTACTCAGAGTAATCCAAGCCGTCGTAGCGGTTGATGCGGTGCCATCCCCGTGGTAGACTGGCTGTCTGGTGAATATCTGGATTGTAGACAGTGGTGAGGCCGTCACCCTGAGCAACAACCGCCATAATCTCACAACCATCCACCACTCGTTTAATGGACTCTGGAGACAACACAACTTCATTTCCAAACGTGTTCTGGTGCTCACCTGGTAAAGAAACACATAAAAAGCAGCATACATTGAGTAATATGAATGATCAACTTATATTATAAGATGAATGATCAACTTATATTATAAGTTTTTTCATTGAATATGCTCTTACCATCTTTACATAAAGTCTGCCCCTCACTCTTGCCCTCTGGACTTTGGTTGACTTGAGAATGTCCCGCATCTCTCTTTTCAGGCTTCACTTCACAGACCAGCTCATTGGGCGAGCTCTCTTCAAAGCCACGTTTTAACCAGGGATCTTCAAAGCTCATCTCACTGGACATTGAACCACTGAGTGGTGTGCTGCATTTGATGGGCTCTTTAATTAGGCTGCCTTTGACTGGTGAGGAGAGGACCGAGGGCTCTTTTATTATCATTGGTTTTACAGCGACACACGGGTGAACACTGATGGTAGCTTTGAAAGGTCCAACTAGAGTCTGAATGGTAGTTTTAGTCATAGGTGGGGGCAATTTTCGGAGCTTGTATTTTGTTGGCGTTTGTGTTTTACTTCCATTTTGTGCCTGGCCCATCTCGTCTGGTCCAAGAGCAACATCAGCTTCAGCCATGGCCTCTCCCTGTTGGCTTTGAGACTGGCTGAAGCTGTGGAGCGACTGGTCTGCCTCACTGCACATACTCAGATCACTCATCCACGAGGACATTGGTGAAGCCCGACTGGGCATCACCGTGGCCAATGCCTCCCCTTCTACTCGCAACTTTGCCATAGCAACCTGTTAGGAAAACAGGTGTACAAGTGTTTTACATTCACAAGTTTGCACAACAAAAATGCCACTAACAAAATACACATTATTCTTTAATAATATCTCATACTAATATCATGATAATATCAACTGCTGTTTTTTACCTCAGCCATGGCTACAACTTCTGTCACCCCCGACGTAGTGAAGGGAACGTGGTATTCCTGAACAGCCCCATTGAACTCTTGAGAGACTGTTCCAGTGAGAGAGGCACCGTCTCCGGTGAAGCTGACGATGCTACTTGGACCAAGAGTCTGCTCTTCTGAAGCTGTGTTTGCTGTAACACCAGGATACGACTCACAAGCTGTGTGCAACACTTCATCCTTATTTTGAATATCAACAGTTGGACTTGATCCTGAATAGGTTTTTATATAGCTGTTAAATCAGGTTTATTTATAACCAGTGAAAACAGTCAAGTAATAGTTACCATCTCGGTGCATGTCCAAGGGTATTGGGGGCACTTCATCATCACACAGTGTCTCTGCGGAGCCCAGACTGGCCGACAGAGAAGGAGCGCTCTCTTTCACGTGAGGACTCATGCCGACAGGAGAAGTTCTGGACAACACTGAGTCTGTGGAGGAGCGGCCACTGTCTGCAGCCAAGCTGTCTGCAAATTTACAAATATACATTTGGCAATTTCAGAGACTTGGCTTTGCGTTTATGCTAATGCAATATGAATTGGAAAGAGGATATATTTCCATTTATATGAATCCTTCATTGAATTATTTAAATACATGCTTTAAGATACTTTTAATGTACATATTAGATTAGGTAGAATTACAAAATAAGAGAAGTAGTATTAGTATAGACAATGATATAATGAGTATTTTAATCCTGCACTCACTGTCTGAGGCTTGAGCCTCTGTGGCCTGGCCGTCCTGGGCCAGAGTGTTGGAGGACAGAGGCGGAGTTGTCGGCATCACACATTTCTGAGTGTACACTTTACAGCGCTGGGACGGGGACGATGGGGGCCTTGGGGGAAACAACAATAATCCTAATTCACTGTTAACATAACACATTCCTGTGTGGGACTCTCACCTGTATTCAGCGGTCTTTGTTAAACTGGCAATTCCTAGACGTGGGGATCCTAAAGCGCGAGTCTTTCCTTCAACATTATTAGCTCCGTTTAGATTTTCTCTACTATTCAGACATTAGAGACGTCAGCACAGGTACACCACTAAAGAAAAATGCAAAATGCTTGATAAACTTGAGAATAATCGTCCAAACCTGTCGTGAAGCTGGGAGCTCTTGGCCCTGAGCAGTGGGTTGGAGGTGCTGCTGCTGCTGCCGGGAACACTCCTGGTACAGGTGACAATTGGAGACCCAGACCTCTGCGTCAAACTGTGGATCATGGTCTGTGCCAGCTCTGCCTCCTCCACCACCTCCTTTATGTCCTGCAACTGCTGGTCGTTTGTCCTCCTCGTAGAACCCACTAAAAGGGAATGAAGGCAAATACACAGATCTATCTAAGTGTTTCAAAGGAGATTTTCAACATTAGATATTTACCTGTGTCAGTGTGAGGAGCAGATATTGTGGTGTTTGGGATCTCAACTTCGTATTTGACCCCTTGTTTATCCACAGGAATTTCCTCAAAGGGAAATTTTCCAACCTATACCCCCAAGTTTTGTATGTGAGGAATTCACATTTTGGAATAGAGAACAGACAATCACAGAGATTTTAAATGTTTAAAATGCAACCAACTACAGATTATTTTGAGCAGTTATTCCTGGCTTCATTTGCACTCTAAATCTTTTAATGAACACTGTGATGTCCTGCTCCTTCAGCTCACTGGGAGTCACAGAAAGTATGTTTAAGATTAGAGTTTTTGTGCGTCTTCAAAATTAAAATCAAGAGTGTTCAAAGGAAACGCTATCATTTGACAAAGCGAGACAGAAACCATGGCTCTGTTATAATAAACTGGATAGGGTATTACTCGCTTGGAGCTGAAGGACCCATGTACCCGCGGTACTGCAGACCAAACGAAACTAAATTCATGTGGGCTACCCAGAAATGTTCCCCATAGAACTCAATGTAAACTAAAACAGCTCAACCTTAGCTGACAGAGAACCTACAGCTTTCATAAAGGTCGGATTTTGTGGGGATTTTAGTGTCTACTTTAGTGTTTTCTTTGTGCACGTGCCCCTCTGTGCACGTGCATGACAGCCACAGACGCGTATTTGGCGCAACGCATCATGGGAGATCGTCCACTGCACAGAACCGGGAGGACCAGACGATAGGCGAATACAATATGTCCACGCCCATGCCGGCACATGCGCCACTGAGCAGCACAAACCTTTCATTTGAATATGCCGCCATCTTGGATCGCCGGGGCTGCAACTGACAGACCTCACACAACTCACAAGGTCACTGTGCATCACCTTCATGAAAAAAGTCAGATCCTGTCGGACCCCTTAAGCTAAGCAGGGCAGGGCCTGGTTAGTGCTGTGATGGAAGACTTTTGGGAACACCAATGCTAAGCAGTTTTTGTGGCCTAAGGCAAGACATTTCATTCACGTTCCCTAGAATAAGTCTGGTGTGTGTGAGAATGGCAGCGGTTAGATTGGCAGGTGGCACATAAGGGTTGCCTCGCTTCTGTCAGTGTGCTCCAGGGCAGCTGTGGCTATAGTAGTAGTTTATCACCACCGTGTATGGAGGGAATGAATTTAACAGTGTCTTTGAGTGTCCAAAAAAACATTTTTTTCCCATTCAAGTCCATTCAATCTATTATTGTATAGTCATCTTTGAGGACTTTTGCAAAGTTGTTCATTCAGCAACAACAGATCAGAGAATCAAACAGATCAAAAACAGGAAATGCAATAGAAAACACAAAGGAGCCATTGGATCAAAGGAAGCTGGATGACCACTGTGCATCAAAAGACAGTAGTAGTAGTAGTAGTAGTAGAATTATGTCCCAAGACGATGAAGATCAAATCTAAAAGTACAAAAGAATCTGTCAACGTTAAAGTCAGATAGAATCACACAGAATTTCGCCTTGGGCCTTCAGATTGCCCCCTGCCACTGCACTCTAACTTAAATCCAATGCCATTTGAGTTTTGAAAGAAAAATGTAACTTTCCAAACTGTCTGAGGCTTAGCTTTGCTGCTGTGTGCCTCAGGTTCTGGCATTTCGGATTACGCGTCAGATCCGAAGCTGGCGGGCGAGTCTCTTAAAGCCTGCATGAGGGACGCTGAAAGGTTTGTCCCCAGTGAGAGACACGAGGAGACCCCTCTGTATCTGGGGGCCACAGCCGGCATGAGGCTGCTCAAGTAAGTATGAGCTCAGAGTTGAAAATGTTTGGGTTGAGTCACAGTGACAATTTTTACTTAAACTTTTCGGCTTTATTTCATATGTTTGTCTGGTGCACACCTTTGCACATGTATTCCAATGTGGTTTTACTGCAAATGGCAAAGAAAATGAATCGGAATCTGTATATACGCTAAATTACAAAATGGGACCCTTTACTTTATGGTGATTTAGGGACAAGATAATTGTTATAGGATATGGTTCACATTTTGTTGGACTAACACAAAAAAGTATACCACTATGAACTTGGACCAAACAAAAGCAGGGAATGTCCCCAGTATTGGGACAGAAAGGGTTTTTTCAGCTTTGTGCTCCTATAGACTGGAATTTTGGACAGAAATTAAACTCCAAAGTCTTGTATCCACAGCAGGCATGTCCAAACGCAGGCCCGGGGGCCAATTGCGGCCCTCAGTGTAATTTCACACTGCCCTCTGCCTTGCTAACCCAAAATAGTCTTTGAAAGCATAAACACATGTTCACTCTGTCATCCATCCAACTTCATTTCAGCCAAAATAGACATGTTATAACTCATTTGTGGACTTTATATTTTGACTCAAGCTACAGGACACTTGTTTATTGTCAAAATAGAAGAAAGTGGCTGAGTCACCTTGTTGTGTCCAGTAAAAACAGTCTATCTTCTATATTACAACATGAAAATCTTGGGCTTATAGTCTAGTTAGTGGAGCTAGCTAATGATAAGCTAAGCTAAAAACACGCTCAGAAAGTACACAGTGGGTACATACCTGACCAAGTCGTATTCTAGCCCCGGCTGCATATGATGGAGTTGATCAATTGCTTCGGTCTTTATTTACCCGGAAATCAAGCATGGCATTTCAACCAGTGAAAAAAAATCCAAGGCATTTTTTGACACAGAATTTTTTTTAACATTGATTTTTTTTAACGCTGAATTTTAAAACATTGAATTTTTAAACACTGAATTTTAAAACATTGAATATTTTAACACTGAATAATAAAATATTTAATTTATTTACATTGAATATATTCAATGTATTCAATTTCTTTCCTCTGTGTATTTTAAAACCACACTATGGGGTTCTATCCGTCTGCCCATTGTCTATTCCATATTCGTTCCTGGTTTGTTTTTAGTTCCGGATTTTCAATCAATCAATCAATCAAAGTTTATTTGTAGAGCGCCTTTCATACACAGGGCAACACAAAGCGCTTCACAGTCCACATCACAAATCATCACATAAAACAAACACCAGAATCACAATTAAAACATTAAAATCACACAAAAGATTAAAACACAATTAAAACATTAAAATCACACAAAAGAATAAAACCATTAAAACTTTCAAAATTACACAAGAAATTTAAAAAAATAAATAAATGACAGCAGTGCATTAAAAATGGAGATAAAATCCTTCAGTTATATGCACAGGCAAACAGAACAGTCTTTAACCTGGATTTGAACATTGACAGAGTAGACGCCTCCCTCACATTTTCAGGGAGATTGTTCCAGATCTTAGCTGCATGGATCTGAAACGCAGCCTCCCCATGTTTGGTTCTCACTCTGGGCACCAGCAGGAGGCCAGTCCCTGTGCTCCTCAGAGTCCGGGCCGGTTCATATGACACCAACATGTCACTAATGTATTCTGGTGCAAGGCCATGGAGAGACTTGTACACAAGCAGAGCCGTTTTAAAATCTATTCTTTGAGCCACAGGAAGCCAGTGCAGAGACCTGAGGACCGGACTAATATGGTCATACTTCCTGGTTCCTGTCAGGACTCTAGCTGCTGCATTTTGGATGTACTGCAGCTGCTTACAGGTCTGTTTGGACAGACCTGTAAGCAGGCCATTGCAGTAGTCTAGCCTGCTGGAGACAAATGCATGGACAAGAATCTCCAAGTCTGCCCTGGACACTATATTTCTAACTTTGGCAATGTTCTTCAGATGGTAAAAAGCTGTTGATGTTATTGATTTTATGTGGCTATTGAAATTTAGGTCTGAGTCCAGTATTACCCCCAAATTTCTGACCTTGTCTGAAGGAAGTAGGGAGAGAGACTGAAGTTGACAAATGACGCCCTCTCTTTGTTTCTGGGGACCAAAGACAATGATTTCGGTTTTGTCTGCATTTAGCTGGAGGAAATTATTTTGCATCCAGTCACTGATCTGTTGGATACAGTGAAGGAGCAAATCCAGTGGTCCATGTTCTCCTGCAGTCAGTGAGACATAGATCTGAGTGTCGTCAGCGTAATTGTGGTAGGACACTTTGTTTCTTTGTATTAACTGACCTAACGGCAGCATGTAGAGATTAAATAGGAGAGGTCCCAGGATCGACCCCTGTGGTACACCACAGGTCAGGGCCACATCATCTGAGACGCAGTCTCCAATCTCCACAGAGTACTTCCTATCCTCCAGGTAAGACCTAAACCAGTCTAGGGCTGTGCCAGTGACACCAACCCAGTCCTCCAGTCTCTGCATGAGGATCTCATGGTCGACAGTGTCGAACGCGGCACTAAGATCTAACATGACCAAAACTGTGACTTTACCTGCATCAGTGTGAAGTCGAATGTCGTTTGTTACCTTCACTAGAGCGGTCTCAGTGCTGTGGTGGGGTCTAAACCCAGACTGGAACATATCAAAAGAATTATTCATTGTTAAAAATTCAGTAAGTTGTTGGGAGGCCACTTTTTCAAGAATTTTTCCAATAAATGGCAGATTCGATATGGGGCGATAATTTTGAAGTCCCGCAGGATCCAGACTGCTCTTTTTTAGGAGAGGTCTTATGACTGCTGTTTTTAGGGCCATAGGAAATGTTCCTGACGACAGAGACATGTTTACTATTTGTGTCAGTGAAGGTAACAAACTGCTCAGGACGGACTTCAGAAATTTAGAGGGCAATATATCCAGGCTACATGTGGAGGAGCTCAGACTCATGATTATCTTTTTGACAGTTTCAGTATCCACAGGTGCAAAGTGAGTTAGCTCAAAAAGCTTCTCTGGCTGTTGCATTGTTATACGTGCTGTGGAGGTGATAGTGTTTTTGATTCCTTGTACTTTGTCATCGAAAAACTGTGCGAACTCATTACACCTAGATTTAGAGGAAAATTCTAGGGGCAACTTTACAGGGGGGTTCGTTAATCTACCAACTGTTGAAAACATAACACGAAAATTGTTACTGCAACCTCCAATAATGTCAGAAAAATACATTTCTCTTGTTCTACGTAGAACCCGGTTAAATTCACCCAACTCATCTTTAAAGATTTCATAATCGCCCTGGAAATTGGACTTTCGCCACTTCCGTTCGGCCCTCCGGCACTCTTGCTTCTGTGCCCTAACCGAGTCTGCCTTAGTCCATGGGGCCTTTTTCTTACTGGTAACTATTTTAACCGTCACAGGAGCAATGGCGTCCAGAACAGTCAGAACACTGGTGGTGACAGAGTTATACAATTCATCAACAGTAGAGCATGGAGTTTTCTCAAAATTTAGCATTCCCATGAACAGTTCACTTGTGTTTTCATGTATGTGTCTTCTTCTAACATTTGTAAATTCAGCTGGTGGTTTGCTAGCAAAACACATGTCAAAAAATACACAGAAATGATCTGACAAAGCAACATCAACTACATTAACATTTGATACATTAACCCCCTTTGTAATTAGCAGGTCAAGAGTGTGCCCCCTGCTGTGGGTGGGGCCACTCACGTGCTGAATGAAACCAAAGGTCTCAAATACAGAAGCCAGCTCCTTTGCATTTCTGTCATCAACATTATCAACATGTACATTAAAATCACCTGTAATAACTAAACTATCAAAATCTGTGCACACGAATGAAAGTAGTTCAGTAAAATGGTCAATAAAATCGCAACATGACTGTGGTGGCCTGTACAGGACAATGAAAAGAGTAGAAGATTGCTTTTGTTCCATTTTAAAAGAAATATACTCAAACGATGAAAAATTTCCAAGGGGCATTCTATGGGAGACAAAGTGCTCTCTAAAAACTGCAGCTATGCCTCCCCCCCTTTTGTTTTCTCGTATTTCGGATTCGAATTTAAAATTGGGTGGTGTTGCTTCTATTAGAACTGCATTTCCTGTATTTTGGTCGAGCCATGTTTCAGCCATAAGCATAAAATCAAGATCATAAGAAGTGATAAAATTATTAATTAAAAATGATTTGTTACATAGAGATCTGACATTAAGCATAGCAAGTTTAAAAATAACGTCAGAGTCGATTAATGTGGTTGATTGATTTCTACAGGGAACAGAAATTAGATTTGCAGAGTTGGACCGTCTAACTGCTGTCCTGTTTTGATTTCGTTTTTTAGAATTTAAAAACATTTTTGAGCTGGTGCGAGGAACACACACAGTCTCAATTGGCCTAAAATGTGAAAACCCTTGTTGTTGTTCTTTAGCTCCCAGAATCAGAAGGGAGTCAGCACAGTTCAGTGTTTGGACTGGTAATACACTGCCAGACGGACAGGGAGCAGTGTTTGCACCGTTGTACTCACCCGGTGCTGGTGAGCAGGAGGCGGGGGAATGCGGTGGGGTCCGAGGGGGCTCAGATGTAAACAGTCACGCCCCCCTCGGGGAACGCTGAACAACATAACGCATGTAGTCCATCAACAGGCTGCTACCGTATCTGTTTGGGTGTAATCCGTCTGGACGATAGGCTTCGTAACGTTTCCAGAAAAGGGCAAAGTTATTCACAAAGACAAAGTTAAAAGAGCTGCATGTAGCCTGGATCCACATATGCAGCGCCACAACACGACTGTAGAGGCAGTCACCTCTGTTTACAGTCGGGATTGGACCAGAGATAAAAACAGATAATCCTGTGGATTGAAGGAGGTGGAACAGATCCATAAAATGTTTCTTCGTGACTTCTGACTGCTGAAGTTTCATGTCGTTAATTCCCACATGCACGACTACCTTGGAAACGGTATCAGGCAGGGACTGAAGCAGAGGAGGGAGACGTATGAGCAGGTCTGGGACAGTAGCTCCGGGAATACAGCGAGTGACCGCGTTAAAGAAGCGGACGTGTCTCACGATGGAATCTCCAATAATCAGAGTGGTCGGGGCGAAGAGTGGCCTCGGAGAAGGAGCTCGGTGGACGGAACCAGCGGGTTCACCCGAAGCAGGACCCGAGCCTGAGCGCCGCTGAACACATGGAGAGGAGGAGCGGGGGTGCTGACTCTCAGCTACAGGCGACCCACGCTGTGTGCTCGGGGACGCTGGAGCGGTGAGAGGGGCTGGCTCTGGGCGCTGCTGCTGACCCGGTGGAGGTGAGCGGTGGTAATGATGGCTCGCTACCCCAGTCTGAGGCTGCTGCCTGGGGTCAAAGAAGGGGAACAGGCCAACATGGCTGGTGGACCGCTCTTTCGCCTGAGGACTGCTTCCTTTAGGAGCGTTTTCCTCGTAGTGGACTTGGATCCTCGAGCAGTAGAGTACGCTGCAGTGTCCAGGGATTCTGCTGAGGGGGCCGGGATGTCAGTGGAGAGGGCTGCATAGCGGTTTGCCAGACTAAGGACATGGGCCACGGCGCAGGATGGCTCCTCGGAATCCGCGGGCTCGTTATTCGGAAGCGGGCGCTTAGGTGTAGAACAGGAGGGTCCGGAGCTGACGGATCTCTCCCACACGACAGTGTCACAATATGCAGCGCTCAGTGACATCAGCCGTGAGTGCTGCCCACCAGCGACTTCAAAAAGTTTGGATACTAGAGATTGTTTCTCATTCAACTCTGCGGTGAGACGAAGGACTTCTTTTCGTAGATCTGCAATGGTGGCACGGTCGCTCTCACGGAGCTCCAAGGTGAGGCGACTAATATTGTGCATGTTTGAGCCAATTTCATTGTCACTTTCCATGTCCTCGTTAGCTTGTGTTAGCCTCTGTGCTACTAGTGGGTTTCAGTCGGGACTAAGTGCTATTTGCTGAAACCACTGAATTAAAAAGATAAAACACTCAGATATATTAAAAAACTGAACAATAAAAACGCGCTAAAAAGTTGTTAAAAGTTTACTAAAAAGGTGCACAGAGCAGCCCTGCAGTACTGCTTACAGTTGGGCCGAGTGTTGCAGCCCTTCAAAACCAGAGTTTACTATGTGTTTATTATGTGTTTACTATGTGTTTATTATTTGCTTACTATGTGTTTACTATGTGTTTATTATGTGTTTACTATGTGTTTATTATTTGCTTACTATGTGTTTATTATATGCTAACTATGTGTCTAACTTGTGTCTACTATGCTGTTATCTAGATTTATTGGTTTGCCTATCAAAGATCCAGTCAGTGATTTTTTCCCGACGCATTATTTAAAATATTGTGGGAAAATGTCCCTAAACCCTAAAATTAGTCAAGTTATCATGTGTTTTCAAATAGTAATTTAATTGACTAGATGCTTATAGTCTCCAAAAAATAATAAAATGTATTTTGGAGCGGACCGATAAAAATAAACCAATGGGATTCCATTCATCCTCAACGAACCCTCTTCCTGTTTCTTGCGAGTGTGCGCATCTGAGTTATCGGATTTTCTAAAACCTAAAATGGCTGAACAGAAAATGCCAATTTCACGTTTGCCGGATGTTTGGTTTGGTGGAGAGGCGAGGGGAGGGGGAGTGGTTTCGAGTTGGTGCTACGGCTAAGCTAACAAAATTGCTTACTGCATCTTTAAAACTCATTGTGAAGGCTTTCAAAAAAAATTGCAGTTTAAATTCAGGTGACAATAACTGTATCCTACCAAAATTGAGATTGTGATGTTTTGCTGTTTGTGTGTTCTGTCCTCAGTCGAGCTGCAGCAGGTCTATGAGGCGGACTCTCTGGAGTATCTACAAGCCCTGGAGATCGTCACTGACCGACTGGAGACCAGAGTGAACTTCTGCAAAGCTCACCTCATGATGGTCACATGCTTTGACGTGTCATCCAAACACCGATAGAACCAGGCATCAGAACTGAGCCAGAAACCCACCCAAAGACCTAATGGAATTTATATCACAAAAGCAATGGATGTGTTCAGTGTTCACAGCAACAAACTTGTCGGCTTTGATGGAAATTATCAAGGAAATATTGCAATTTTTTTCTCAGAACTTGGTTAGTGCGATCAAAGGAGGTCAATAGATCCCATCTTTTCAGAAACCTCTGTTCTTCTATTTTTGAGGATTTTATGGGTCAAGACCATAGACAAACACTTGGACAAAGACATTTCTTTTGCTTTTCACTGCAGATAAACTGAGCTAATTGCAAAGAAGAAAGGAGTAGTGAAAAGATAAGTGCCTTGTGACCTGTAGTCCCTTTGTGTAACCCTAACCTCTGTGTGGTGCTACCAGTACTGGTAAGATAACTCCAGCTGTTTTAACATCATGTTTTCTCTCAGTCAGTGTTTCTATCTAATAATGACTGGGAAATTGTACATGGACATGGACTGCAATTTTGCAAAACCCGATGGGTGTTTATGAAAGGTTTTGTGATGTTTTTACCTTGAATCCGTACACAAACGGAGCCCCTCGCACATTCTCTTATAGTGCACTCTTCTTATGTCCCTGGTGCTTTTGTGATTGCATTTCTGTGTTCACGAAGCAATGAAATGTGTTGATCCCTCGGTGAAAAAGCTAAAAGAGAAATGTTTCCTGAATTTAGTGTTGAGCACATTCATCGACAGATTGTCTGTTATTTGTACTGTGTTGTTCCACTTCTAATCTTAAAGAATGTGAAAGATGTGTCATGTGTGTGTTTTGTAAGAAGAAATATCCATCGCTCTGAGTGCAATGGGACCTTGTAGAGACTATGCCACATGTCCACAAATGGCAAAAGGGTTGAAAATGAGCCAAATAAGAAAATGGGGCACTGCAATTTTTTAGTATTTCATCTTGGGATGAAAAACAAATGGTAATGTAGTATAAGCCAAGTTAGACAGAATAGATAAGAATAATATATTTAAAATAAATGTATTTAATATGAAGTGAAGACAAAATCAGAGGCATATGTCTCTGCTTGGTTCTGCCTCTCATTTGTTCTGTGGTGCTTGAGATGTGTACGACAAATATTTGTACAAATATAGATATTCAGAAAAGTCAGCGTCCTTCTGAAATGCCTCTCCTGCATAATTCATGTCACCCTCTGCATTCTGGGTAATTGTGTTTATTGCTGTTGAACGGTAAAAGCAGGAAAAGGGAAAGCAAAACAGACGCATGTTCAAAAGAAAACAGTCTGGATGGTAATTCTAAATGTTGGTCATTATTTTTCCATCACGTACATGTAAATACAGTAGACAGGTGAGACATAATCCACGCTGTCGCCATGGCGCTCTGATCTTCTCCTGCTTTTAACACTGCACTCACAACAAATCATGAATGATGGTTATTTATGTATGCTAGTCACTTTCTATGGACTCAGCTTTTGCTGAGTCCATAGAAAGAACTATAGAACTATGCATTTAAAAGAAATACCTGTATCCTGTATGTTACATAATTATGGATTATTACACTGTACACTCTTTAAACATTGCCTTTGTTTCTTTTTGTACTTACTTTGCTCCGTTGTTTTGTTTCAGAGATGTGTATGTGTTACAAAAACAGGTAATCAAATTTGGATTTAACATGCTACGTGTGGGGTCAGTTTATATTTTTCATTATCAAAGTGCTAAAATCTGCTGTCCATAATATAAGCAATACCCCAGACGCTTCGAGGCTCAAAAGATATTTTCGGAAATAGGCAAAGTGCTTTATTTACCAAAATACCATTTTGAGTCCCAAATATAAAGAAAGAAATATGATGCATTATTTATGGACATTTCAATTGTAATGAGATGAGACTATTCACTTTGCCATTTAATGTTTTAGAATCTGAAGCAATATCTTAAGAAAATATATGCTGAAACTATATGAAGGATTAAACATGCTTACTGCTTGTAACTTCCGAGGATACCACCAGAGGGAGGAGTATCATTTTTTCCAAATTCAAAAATTACCAGCTGCAAACCCTACCATGCAAACGTAATTTCACAAACTAATTTGTGGGCAATACTTTTGTTTTAAAATGCAGACAACTGCTCTGAGCGGTGTGGTACAATGACATCATACTATTACAGGACTGAGACAGGAGCTTTTAGACTGAAGGTTTGGAGTTACATGTTTATGCCAAGAGTTCCTTTTTATTAGCGCAGATGGATCTAAAAAGCTCTGGGTCTGCAATGCATTATTTTAAATGCTCAAAAATGGTGCATAATATGTCTCCTTTAATACGAATGATGGATCTCCAGCACACACTACACCTCTTTTCTGTGGACCCACACACAGCATGTTTAACATCCACAAAATGTTTTGAGTCAATGTTTGTTTATGGCCACATTTTCCACAACAGTTGTATTTACAGCATTGGCAAATATTGTTATAGTTATTCAAAATGACCCGTTGTAAATTAACTTGCACAGAGGGAAACAGCGAGTAAACACATGCAGCTTTTGTGATTTACGACCAGAGTACAGATTTGCAGTTTTTTTGGAAATGAGGCCTGACACATTGTGCCGACAGCAGAGCAGATGGAGGGATGTAAATAAAGGAATGTATTGGAAGAGTTGACATGAGCGAGTCCTCCGTCTTTGCACCAAACTGACAGATGCACACACCAGACGCTGACGCTGTGGCGAGGGCTGGCTTCAGGCTTCAATAACCACACTGTCTGTCCCGGCTAAGGCGCACAGTATTATGAGTTAATTTAGAGTTGAGAGGAGGAAATTGATTGATCTTTTATTTCAAGTAAAAGTAAAGAGGAAAAGGAAGGACTTTGGGTTGAAATTTGAGTGCTAGATTTTGGCACATAATAATAGAGCGATGTGAGAATTATGGGAATTTGTGTAATATGTGTAGACGATGTAGTCCCAAATAAGGGGAATATTTTTAGATGTTATTTTCAGTCATTTCATGGTCAGTCTTCCTCAGGGCAGCTATGGCTGTAGCAGTTTATGTTTACTGCGTGAATGAATGTCAAAAAAGCCCTATATAAAACCAATGCATTATTACTATTTTCTGTAATTACAGAATCGATTCTGTAAATATTTAAATAAACACTTTTAATTTTATCCATACGCTGATAAAACTGAAACTACTGCGGAGAATAGAGTAACCCACATGAGACCAAACCACTCCATACCTGCAGGGTTTTCTGACCACCACTCATAAACATCCATAAAATAATAAATATAAAAACATTGGTTGATTGCAGACGACAAAGGCACCTCTGTATTCCTTCTTCAGCACTTTGTCTGAATGGGTGCACCTCTCCTTTGTGCTGGTGTGATGCCTGCTGTTGTTGCTGTAGGCAGCTCAGTGTGATATCATGCCCTCTGAGTGCGCTTTGATCACTGCACACTGCCAAAACCACCCTGGAGAATGGGAGACGTATGACGAGAGAGGGGAGAAATGCATTTGGCAAAAAGGAGAGGCCAGGAGTCGGGTTAATAGAAAAAGCAGCAGCCATGATTCAAGGGAATAACTAAACCATTACAAAAAACAATTGGACAAAAAAAATTAACAACTTATGAACAAATAAATGAGCGTCATATTTGAGTAATCTTAAAGATGCTGGGGTTCACTGTAGCCTTGGAAAAGTTATATCTTGCACATACAGGAGTAGAATTATTGTATAAAATATCAAAAAACAAAAAAAGATCTCTCCGTTTTGAAAATGTGTCACAATCTTGACATGTTTTGTTATTGTCAGTAGTTTAAATATTTGTGCCGCTAAAATATGACATACAACTTGATAAAGAGAAAATTGTAAAGCTTTCCAATATTTTTCTAATGCCACTTATGTGTTCGCAAATAAACAATCCACATATTCCAGGGTTTTGGTGTCAGGCCAAGATAAGATAAACCTTTATTAGTCTCACAGTGGAGAAATTTCAGTGTCATCGTTTCAGCGAGAAAGGAAATAAGAGCACTCAGATTGCACACATCAACGTCTATTTAAGATAATAGACAATAAATTTAAGATAAAATAAACTCTGGGCTATAATTGCACTTGGTTCGGAGTATTTACAGATGTCTATATTATACATTAGCAGCAGAGAATATGAGAATATGAATATGAGCAGAATAAACATCCGAAATAATATCAACAGGTAAAGTGACGGTGAAAGGCAGAATTATCAGATATGAAATAATACAGTAGTACTGATAACAGTAAATATCAGATATGTAGTACTGTAGTACTGTAGTAGTACTGATAACAGGTAAAGTGACTAGTGACAAGTTACTAGTGAATTATCAGAAACACTTGTGCAGACTCAGCAGTTCCTGTTACACATTCTCGTTGTACAGTCTGACAGCAGCAGGAAGGAAAGACCTGCGAAACCTCTCCTTCACACAGCGAGGGTGAATTAGATTAGATGACATTTTAATTTTCTAACAGGTCTTTTTGGATTATGAACAGATAATCCAAAAAAGTGAATTATTATATTTTTGATCTATATCATTGACTGCCCACATTTCTTTCCAAGTCAGACACATCTATTCATGATCTCTTGTCCAGATTCAACAGACTGGGGATGACAATACCTGCTAATCTCTTTTATCCATCTTCAGAGACACCAGGCGACATAATGGAGTCAAGATGATAAAGTTCCATCTACCACTTGCAGGGAAAATGAAACTTTGAGCTCTTCCCTGCAACACCAGGACATTCATTTGGCTGTATATACGTGTTGGATTTCATAATGAAGCCGCCTCAGTCAAAGTTAATGAGAGATCCCATTATGTTATAATGATGGCCCTGACCCTTTGCAGATTGCTCCTTTGTGTAGAAAAGGGCAGCGAATACAAGAATGACTAATAAACCATAGTCAGTGGAGAGCAAGGGGAAAGGTTTTGAAGTGAAGATTGAAAGTGCGCTGCGTAAAAGCTCGACTGAATAAGCTCCATGTATTCTCCCTGTGATTGGCTGACAGCAGTGGATTTGATTTATAAAAAGGACAGACGGGGAACAGTCGAGAGAGCAGGGAGCTGTTGGTAAGTGATGGTAAATCTAATTTGATGGGCATTATGAGGTGGAAGAGGCCAGACAGAAGAGGGGCATTGACAAAACCAAGTGAGTAATGGAAGGAGATTGAGCAGCGTCGACCAGACAGGACATAGTCTTCCACCGCTCATTCAGACTCACCACCATTCAATCTCACCCAGAGTACAGCGAGCACCAGCCCTGCCAGGAAATACCCCACCAGAGCTGTCAATGCTGTCGAGTAGGCCTACCCGTCACTCAAAAACACAGAAAGGCAACTATATGACGCATGTTGATTTAATATCTCATACATTGTTATCACTTATACATTTACAAAAATAGAATAGATGTTGTTGATAGCCCTGTGTTACAGAGAAGCTATTTTTTGTTTAATATGTATTATGGGAGTAGGATTAAAAAAGTTTTCTTCTTCCAACTCCCTTTCAGGAAACTATTTTGGTTCATTTATTATTATTACTTTATCCCTCTTATGCATGTTAGCAATACTTTATTTATTTTTGTTGGAAACTATGATGGACAAGAGGGGATCTGTGCCCAATGTGAAATGCCTGAAATGAATAAACAAACAAAAAATGTAAATGGGTAATGAAAACCTATCTACATTCACATTGGTACATCACACAAAACACATCAGACCACAACATGCTGTAATCATCTTATCAGGAAACATGTGATCTATTGCATACGGGTAAGAAAGAGGCCTGTGAGTCACTATTTGACTGTTTAGGCTAAAGAGCCAGTTGGGCCAAGTGGGGGTGGTCCTCCCCATTCAAATTCCTGTGAGAAAAATCTGATCTAAAAATGCCAAATATACGTGCATGTGAAAACTAGAGACAGAAGCAGACTGCTTTGAGGTGGAGGAGCTAGTTACATGCAATTCATGACATGGTTGTTTATTGTTATAAAGGCAGGTACCCAAGCTTTAATGTAAATCATGATGCTCCCTGCCTCCCCCAAGTTTAGACATTCATCATTGCAGTTCAAGTTTGCGATTATTATACATTTTGGTCCACCTGAAAGCAAAGTACTCCTTTAATTCACTTTATCTAGGTCAAATATAAATTAGCCCAGTAGTGACTAAGAGTTAAACATGTCAGACGGGCCCCTATTATTTGCAGATCTAAAGCAAACGCAACATGGCCTTAATCCCTTGTAGCCACAGAGGCCCACAGAGGAGGAAACTGTGTCATGGGTTTGCAGTATAGGGACAACTTTGGGATTACCATGGGGAAGTTGTGCGAGACGGTTACGTAGCAGACCAGAGCACCCACAGAGCAAAGCAGGGATTACCGCGGGCGAGGAATATGCACGCAGCAAAGATGGATGTTTGGAGAGGATGACTTAGCAAAGAAAACATAACTGCATTCAGGCACACGGTGACACGAGAGACAACACATCAGTCACCCAGATGGTATGTGTAGATTAGACACTGGGCCTTCACAAACAGAGGACACTTAAAAAACATAGCCTGAAAAAGCAGTTTCTAGAGGAGTAACATTTGTCGTCAACAAAACAGGTCAATAGACGAGGTGAGTACAAAGACATGTATTTAAATGTTGTTAAAAAGACATAATTGTAGTTGTAAAGCGATCACTCAAAATAAACTTGCTCCTGACTTCCACGATTGTTTATGTTGTCATTGATTTAGTTCACATCGACATTCTTCCATCTTCATCTTCAGTTCAGACGTCAAAGCGTGAGAGTCACCGTGGGTCACTTTCAAGATTTCAAAAGCCTTAAAAGGAGGGGAAAAAAAAAAATCGTACTTAGATTTACACAATAGGAAAAAAAGTGAAATAATTAAAGCAACAAATGAAAGTACTTGTTTGAATGTGTCAAAAGCATCAGCGATGTGTTCAAGGAAATGCTGCAGTTTCCCGACTCTCATCAGCTGGACTCCGTGCACTGGATGTGGATCAGCAAAGTAAAGTCTGAAAATATACAAAAAATGCAACAAGAATCAATCATAGGAAAAGCTGACACCTTTTATGTGCCTGAATTAAAGGTTTAAAGGAGCAGTATGTAAAAAGTCTGGCCAAAAGTGGTACTGCAACCTCTCCCACTCTCCCTGACTCAGGTTGCCAGATATTCAGACGTCTCCAGATGGGACCATTATATCTGAATAGACAAGAGCTTTGTCAACAACAAATCTAAAACCAACACCTTTTTCAGAAGGCCTCAATAGAAATCCTCTTTTTATTCCTTGTTTTGTTATTAAAGATTTGAGAATCGTAACGAGACATCTTTAGTTCTGCGGCCACATGTTACTTTACCAGTGGGATTAGCTCGACGTGGTAAATTCTGGCAACCCGGATCACAGACTTTCTGGTTGGTAAAACGGTGGAGGGCGGGACATGAAAATGAAAACAATACAAGATTTAGGGGCTGTAAAACTAATTTTGAAATTCAAATATCTTGGCTGAACTACTGTTATCACTTTAAGAAGTTTTTCAAAAAGAGCATGATTAATGAATGCCTTTTGACAGATTAGAGCCATTTAATGATGACTTGACATATTGCTACTTTGATATTAATATTAGCAAAATAACAATGGTTTAATGAAATGTGTCTAAAACAAGGCCGATGATCACTTCCACACTTATAAAACAATGCACTACACTTTAAAGCATTTTCTCCATAACTAATAAATGTTGTTTGTCCTGGTAGGGCCTTTCCAAATCTTAGTAATGTTTTTGTGAATCCTCCATGCAGTCTTCATCTTATTAGAAAAACATGTGATCATTTGAATACTCGCGAGACAAAGCGGAGTCACTGTTTGACGCCTTGTGCTGAAAGCTGATTGGCTGAGTGAGGGTGGTCCAACCTTTTTCACTTAGTCACATCCTTAAACCAGCTTTTAAAGTGAATAGAGTCTTAACAATTCAAGAAAACCAGTGACAGAACCAAACTGTTTTGAAAGCGAGGAAGTAGTTAAAAGGATTTTGTCTCATTCATTTACTTGTAGTTCAAAATCTTTATCCGTGAACGAAGTTAAGAAGTTAAGAAAAAAGGTTTAGTGTGAGAGAATCTAAATATCCAACATCGATGAGACTTGAGAGTGGCTTCTTTTAAAACCACGGCACGTTTCAGAAACCGGAGAAACTGAAACTGAAAACAAACCACAAAAAGGTTTTACTGTAAACATAACTACTGCAGCAGCCAATGAATGATTTTGATTTGAAAAGTAAAACTTGTCTGTTTAAGTATAAGTTAATTAACTCCTTATAATCATAGTTAACTCCACTCAATAATAATAGTAATAATAATAATAATAATAACACACCATTTGTTGCTGTATCCTCTTCATTCATGCAGCTGCAATTACAACCGGACTAAGATCCACAATCACCCAGTTCAAAGAGCCAGACCAACCAACACGTTTTATTATCATACATGAATAATAAGCAACAATATTGATTTAATTAGTGAGCGTGTTGTGAGTTTATTCCTAATACAAACACATGAGACCATACTAATTATATTTGAGTTTGCATGAAGTCTAACGGCACAATTTACATAATATTAACTCGCTGACTTGGAAGTATTTTGCCTTTTACCAAGAGAATACTGTAGGCCTAATTTATAACATGTATGCACTTTATACAATTTGTTTTCTGTGCATGAGAGACTAAGGAAGTTTACCAGTAAGAGGGGATTAAACAAAATGAAGATGACGTATCACTTTAGGCGCCAGAGTAGACATAAACAGGCGTTCCAGCTCAGAAACTGTATCAGAAAAAGAGGACTGCTACATTCGATAACAGAAACAACTACAAGAGAAAGATGAAAGATGAAAGAGAAGAAAAATGTAGGGAAATGTTTGTGGGAAGCCAGGCAGCGGTAAAGAAAGTGTCCTGGGTTCAGCTCTTCAGATGTAGCCAGTGTGTTACTTCTGGAACAGTCTTCTTGAAAATGTGAGACAGGTTTCAAGTCTGACAATGCTCAAATTCAAGTTAAAACAGTTCAGTTTAGCTGTACATACATCTGAAGAATCTTAAATGCACTGAGTATTTTATGATGCTAATTCCTTTCCTTGTTTTGTTAAGCACTTTGTGTATGAACTGTGCTATACAAGAACCTAGCCTCGCCTGCTTCTGTGCCCGAAGAGTTACTCGACAAAATTACAAATCTGAATTGGATTAAAGTTAAAACGAATGAACAGCACCAGAAGAGTTCTATTTTTCTATGAATATTTGCGAACCACTGAACACTGGACACAATAGTCAGTGCATTTCTCAAAAGAACAAGTTCACGTCACATACAGAATACTTTTAAACTTGTGTTTGTACAAAGAAGCTTGGAAAAACCAGTGCAAAAAAAAGTACAATTCGATCATGATTTATTCCTAAGCCTGGCAGCCAGAGCCTACTCCTACTAAAGAATTACAAGCTCTTTTGGCTTTGAGATTTGAGAGAAAATGCTGATTATTGCTTTCTGCGCTAACCCACTAATCTACCAACCACTCAAGCAAGAGACTAAAGATAATGTGTTAATCAATCAAAAATGAGTTAATGGTAATAAGGAAAACGCAATTTTTTCTTTCTTCATAGAAATGTTGAAAATATGTGGAACGAAGACGTGGAGTTGGAGCGCAGGCAAATGTCTTCTGACACCTTTCTGCAGGCGTGAAATAACTAATGTATTCATGAATATATGTGTGCATTGGAATGTGTTTGGCATGGTTCCCCCAATGTGTGGAGCAGCCTGCCGCAGGTGTAAAGCTCTCCACCAACGAACAGGACTGGAAAATAACTGGCAGAGAGAGTGGGAGAAGAAAAGAATAAGCAGCGATTTAAGTCCAAGTCTCCAGCAGCGATCTCGTCTTCTCGCTGTAGATCTGAGGAGCCCAGAGGAAGGCAGCAGAAAGCCCCTTCCTCTCCCCCCTCCAGTCGTTATCTCCCAGTCTCTCTTTGCTTCTTTGTATCAATTTAGCGCCGCATTTTTCTTGCTCCGTCTGTCCGTGCTGCACCTTTGATACAGAGACTTCTCACTCGCCACACGTCTTCAACTGTCTGGCCCAATTTTCTAGCTTCATACGCTTTCACTCGGCTGCTCTATAGCGAGTCCACTTGACCCTTTCAGCACAGCTCTGCACATTCTATTTTGTTCACATTTTCTTGCCATTCAGTAGAATTATTGAATTTATGTCGGCTTGCTTTGCAGAGACGTTTGACATAGAACTTGACCCTGATTATTTGGCGCCTTGTGGTGATTTAGGGCATTGTGTCGAGTTGGTTTTAAAAGTTTTTAGAGTCGAGGCAGTAAGCAGGAAACATACTTTAAATCCTATTCATGAAAATCATCCACCTTCTCATAAAAAAGAATGATTTGTGGGCCAGTTATACATTTGCGTAATTCCCACAAATTGCTTTTTTTCTTGTGTTTTTGACAATATTTGATGTTATAACTTCTTCTATTGGTATAACATTGTATAAATGTTAAACATGTGTATTTTATTACTGTTGTTAGTGCCTTTTATAGAATTATGTGGTTTGATGGATGGATGTTTTTTTCTGCTGCTGGATACCTGAATTATCTATTGATCAACACATGTACAGCAATGCAAGACAACTAAACTCTTATGTCTTTTTCAACAAAAATTGTTCTATAATTGTTTGACTCCTTGAAATAAAGAGCTGTCAGTGTTACATGGTCCTGGGAGTTCAATCTCAAAACACTATCAGTTCACAATCTATCATTCAAACAATCCATCAACTCTTATTTGTAGAGCGCCTTTCATAAACATAAACAATATAATCAAAATCTAACAGAGCATTAAAAACACACAGAAAGATCACAAGAAATATTAAAAACAAAAAGAAAATCACACAAGTATTTAAAAACCTTAAAACATTAACACACATGGGATTAAACTCATAAATAGCCATAGTGCATTAAAAATAGTAAAGATCAAATAAAAGATAAAATCTGTTTGTTCAGTTGTGTGCACAGCCAAACAGAACTGTTTCCAACCAAGATTTGCAAAACGGCCAGAGTAGACGCCTGTCTCACATCCTTAGGAAGACTGTTCCAGACCTTAGCTGCATAAATCTGACTCTGGGCACCAGTAGGAGGCCAGTCCCTGTGCTCCTCAGAGTCTGAGTTGGCACCAACATGTCACAGATGTACTGGACAGACTTGTACACAAGCAGAGCTTGTGTAGCCCCTCCTAAATGAAAAAATGAGCTGTTTTAAAGTCTGTTCTCTGCGCCACAGGAAGCCAGTGCAGAGACCTGAGAACTGGACTAATGTGGTCGTACTTCCTGGTTCTCGTCAGGACATGAGCTGTAGCATCTTGGACACACTGCAGCTGTTTTACCACTTGTTTGGAAAGCCCAGTAAACAAGCTGCTGATGTCACCATTTTGATGTGACTATTGAAATTCAAGTCTGAGTCCATTATTGACGACAGGTTTAATGACTACAAACCTATGGTCTTTGTGGAATGCTTAAACATAATACATGTTGAATGATAACATCATAAACAACCATATATTTGTTGCTTACCTGTAAACTGGAAGTGTCCTCAGTCCAAATGCTAAAGCTTCTTCCCAGAGTCCAAGCTGAATACCGGCGTCTAAAGCTGCATCTGTGACTTTGAGTTTGTACAGATTATGATCAGGAACAGTGTCAGCAGCCGCAGACAGGACACGTTTACACTCGGCCAGCAGCTCCGGCCAGTCTGAAGAACCACATAAGGAAAAGCAATACACTGCAGGACTCTTAAGAGCACCTGTATACTGTACACTGCACCAGAAACATGTTTAAAGAAATGTCCCCATTGTGGGAGGAATAAAGGACCTTCTTCTTTTATTTATCCATTCTCTCCACACACGGACCAACAACATCCATACTCTCACTTGCTCATGAAATTAAGACGTATTCTACATGTTTTAGCAGGAGGGGAAACCGGAGCACCAGAGGAAACCAACACAGACTTTAGAAATCAAACCCAGGACTTTCTTGCTGTGAAGCACAAAATCTCACCGCTGCCCCACCGTGCCGCCCCATTTAAAATACTCCTGCAAGAAAGACATAAATGGCAGTTTCCCCAAAGGTTCTCTCCACTGTACTACATTTATTTTGTTTACGTATTCATTTATTAATCAATTTTGATAAAGGCAGGATAAGGAGAGTATTAAATATCAACATTTTAAATACAGTATAAAAGCATATTTCCTAGACATTATAACTGCACACACACTAAGCAGTCATGAGCAGTGTTTCACAGCAGGTGAATGAGTGAACTCAACATCGAAAAGGATACTTGCTTCAGACTTTAGTTCATCCAGTCTGGGAAGAGCCTCTTTAAGCAGTCGCCATGTTGCTTCTTCACCGGACACCATGAGCGCATCCTAAGCAGAGACTCTTACTTAAACTCTTACAGTATCAGGGAAATCAGAAAATATCATTAAATAATTGTATTTTTCACAGTAAACATTTTCTCACTTGATTCTGTTTTTACATTACACCGAAATGTAAACACAGAAAGATGATTGGCTGAGTGAGGGAGATTTTTTTCCTATTTTCTGTTAGAAAAAAGCTGATCTTGAGACAGAGGACAATATTGTCATGCATGAGAGGTGATAGACCTACACTTTTTTAGAGAAAGGAACCAATTTAATTACACAGCTCTATTTTCGGTGGTTTGAAAGTTAGGTACCCCAACATTAATCAATCAAAAACCAAGACTGAAAATCAATTTAAACACAGCCTCCAGACTGGAGTGAGCCGTGACTGTCACAGAGAACATGGCAGAACAACTCTATTTGGATGGGGGAAAAGAAGACAAGATAATATTTCTCATTTTTCTCTTTCCATGTTGGAATACGTTTGAGTGATGGGGGTTGAGAAGAGGCGGAGCATGACAGACACACAGGAAGTGGAGGGGAGCGAGCGATAAGAGAAAAGCAAAGAATGGAGTGAAGCATGTAAGTATCTATGTCGTGTGTGCGTGAAACTAATCTGAAACCCTTTGTCAATGCAATGTCGAAAGTGAAAACTAACTTTGAGTTCTCAGAGTAAAGAAGCTAATTCAAAAATAGTGAGGTATTTTTTAACCTCACCAGCTCAACAGCTCATTCCATATTGAGATATTTCAGGTGTAATTACATGTATAACACTAATGCAAGGCTCTAATTGAATCCGATAGTGTGAATAAAAGAAATGCTATGGACTTATCAAGTCGGAAGAAATTATCAGCCCTGATAGTGTGATTATTATTTTTCTATACAACAGCTAACAGGCTAAAAAAGGCTTTTTTTTTAGAAACGCACACCATATTCTCAGCATATAGAGGTTATTACCATGGTGCAATGTTGTGTGTACCTTGTCTCTCGTGTCACATCTATGGCAGGAGCAAGTGAAATGATACTGCTCTTCAAGTCTCTTCCTCCGGTCTTCGCTGAGGTCCAATGAATCAATGTAACTTAAAGTGAGCTGAAAAAAATGCACCCAAAGTCATTTAAATGTTACATCAATATTGAAATGGTCCAACAGGCAGTGTAGAGGAGAGCCTAACCTCATCGCCGGGCTTGATGTCTTTCACAGCTCTGAGGTGGAGTTTGGTTCCTTCAAACACCATCACGCAGTTTGGTTCACAGTCATGATTTAATAAAGATAAACTACACAAAAGAGAGTAGAAAAAAAGATTAGCTTTGTTTACTGTCAATTGTTTTACACTGGTTTATGCCTGTTTGAGCAATCTTTATTCTTCTGTAACCAACCCTATATTTGCTCTTGGACTCTGCAGACACACAAATGATGGCCGCACTGTGTAGGTAATTTGGCTCAAATTAAAAACATATTCTGTAGTTTGCCAAGGGTTCTCCATTGGCTTCCAGTTCCGACCAGAATTGACTTTAAATTCCTTCTGCTTGGTTATAAAGCCCTCCACAATCTGGCGCCTTCATATATTTCTGAGTGTGTGTGTGTGTGTCTGTGTGTGCGTTGCTTTGTGTGTCTTATACCATCTGTGGTAGTGTCATATATTGTATTACTGTATGTACTCTACAGTTATGAGTTTTTTAAATTATAATGCATGATATTGTTATACTGGTGTATAGCGTGGCATCTGTGATGGGGAGGGGCGATGGAATCAAATAAGCATTGGCTTTGTCCAACCCCTTTTCGAACCATGTACTTGTTATTTTTACGTCATACTGATATACTGTTTTGTCTAGTTACACTCTCCTTGTGAAGTCCTGTTTAAAATGTACAGTATATTGTCCAGGACTCCCTTGAAAAAAGGTTCCTGGTTAAATTACCTTTCCTGGTAAAAAAATAATAAAAAAATGAAATGCCTTTCTTATATGATCTATACATGGTCTGATATTGCCACATTTACGATGACCATGGGGCAGAGATGATAGATTAGTGAGATTTACCCAGACTAAAATCTTTTCTCTTCAATAAAACAACCAAGATAAGATAAGATGTACTTTATTAATCTCACACAGGAGAAATTTACATGTCACATTGGCAGGAATAGGAACACTCAAGAATTGTGCAAAAAGTAAGAAATGTTAATGCAGGACATATTATGAACAAAAAATGGCAATTAGAAAGTGGCAATCAAGAAAGAAGTGTCAATAGTAGTGCAGGTTTCTTTTCAGTCATAGTGCAGTGACTTAAAACTTAAAACCATAAGACGTTGCCAGACAATACTGTAGAAAAATACCGCTTCAGATTTGCCATGCATTATTCAGAAAACCCTTCAATCCGCATTGTTTGCAGAACATCCAGAAGTCCACAGATCAAAGAACAGCAAACAATAAAAACCCAAGCTGCTATGCATCTCCGTAAAGTTTAAAAAATTCAACAAACACGTCTCCCAATTCCTCGAGGCTTTTAACACCGACCGGAGCTGACAAAAATGGTAATTGCCGTCCACATATTTCAGGATGGAAAGACAACACAGGAGAAGCCAAATCCCTACACCAGATCCCTTAAGACCGGCGCCCGTTCCAGAGGCTCCAGCGGCGTGACAGCAGCGGTTTGAGACGTCTTTATCACTCAGCTGTCACAGGGTTAAACACAGGGATGAGGGGATCCTGTGTCTACTTGTTGAGACACAAGGAGACGACGAAAACGACAAACTGTGGCGCTCTTAAAAAGTTTCACATCTGAGCAAATGTAGCTATTTACCAACATAGACAGAAGATCTCTTGTTAAATAATGTGCCACTCAGCTTTCATGTGAAGCGTAAACATTTAAAGCACAGCAGAGATTGAGATTTGACTGTTTTTTTTCCCTGCCCTTTTTATTAATGGATATAATGTATGTCTAAAGGCTTGATGGCGTGCAATTTTTAGATGGGTGTCTATGTGGTCTCCATGGTTTCAAGGTACAACAGCTGTCAGAGTTACAGAGTAGAACAAAAGCTGTCCGATTTACAATTATTTTTCTCATAATCAGCAGTGCAACAATTAACAAGTATTATTCTCAGACAGGCGTTAGTGATGACGTTCAACATTTTCGCAATAAGATATTTTCTGCACATGGGAAAATGTTTGAAAATGAGGATCATCTGAGAGGGGTTCAGAAAATTTACTCAAACATAAATCACTCAAAAACATTGTTTCTCTGTGGTGCATTGAATTCACATTAAAAACCGTAATTGTGGGACTATAAACTGCTACGTTTTTCACAACTAATAAATGTTTGTATATATGCAGTATATCCCACAGGGGGCGCAGGAAATAATTTGGACACAGCTCATTGTCTGTGGTTTATGTTTATGTGAACAGCAGAGAGCTGTGATACGAGGAAACGCACAAGATAAAAGGGGGGGACTTATTATTTAAACTCTATCAAGTTTTAAATTCGATAGACTATCGTTGGTATATGAGAAACTGTATAATTTGTCATCTTGGACGTATTGTCACATCGTAATAGTGTTAAGAATCAGACTCAGACCAAACGGATAGGGTTAAGGCAGTATACGTTTTAACTTAAGCCTAAACCCCTTTCAGTCAGGAATTGTTTCGCACAAAGGTCCTTAATGGACACATTTTGGTTCCTTTTTTTTAATGTTGTAAAATGTATGTGAACCTCTGAAAACGTGTGACCTGAGATCTGGTGTACATAAGAAAATAAACTACAAAACTACTACGAGTAAAGCTAAACTAAGGATTGGTAGATGATTCCCAACAGTGTAAGTAAGCATGCTAACCTGAGCTAATGTTTGCCTCCTCAGAGTTCATTGTGATATTTACCAAAATTAAATCATGTTGTGATCATGTGTTTTACTCTATTAGCTGTTAATTAAGTGTTACATTTAGTGCTGTTTTTCACATGCTGACGCAAATCAGTATTAATTCATTTTGTTAATAAAGTGATTAATTTGTGTGACCTACTTCACTTGTAGTCTTTTGTAGCTGTGGCCAGTGTTAGAAGCATTAGAAAAAAACAACAGGAACCGGAAAATAAGATGGAAATAAGTGTAATGCTTCACTGTAGGTCATCGCTGGCACCAATAGAAAGAATATCTCGACAAAAGCCGACACTGTTGTGATGCTTTCTGATAAAAGGTAAAATGGTACAACACTAGCACATGAAGTTATTATCTCATTAGTTTAAGCCATAAACCACTGAAGTGACTTAAGTGAATAAGCACAGCGTATGAAGCACACTTGGCTAATCCTGGAGAGTTTATCAGTGTCGCCATTAGTGCCGCTCTCTTGATCATATCCTTGTTTATCAAATTCAGAACGAGACTGAGAGTGTTCGCCAACCTCTGTTCTAAACCAGTGCAGATACGCTCCAGGTGAATATCAAGTAGATATCAAACCTCCAAACGATGCTTTTATCCGACGGAGTGCTGCTCATTTGCATACTAATTAGATTAATTAACACATGCACACTGCTCCACTGGATCTTTAACTGTTGCTCAGACCACAATGTAAGACAAAGCAGCGTTTTTGTTTCCTTTGTCATCCTGAATGTTAGCCCCGTTATTGTGCCACTGCCTCATGTGTACAAGAAACATGACTCTACAGAGATAAATAACTTATGTCATTAAAGATAATAACCGACAAAACATTCCAAGGAAACAAGAAATAAGAGACTCAACTCAACTACACGTTAGGTTTATGGAAATGCAGGGAAAAAAACCAACAAACATCCAAATCGGGGACAATTAAACATGACTAAAAAAAAAAAATTCTCCATTCTATTTTCCATTTGAAAAAAGACAAATGCTCCAATAATCTCCAATAATAATAAAATAAATGTGACAAGATATGTTTTGACAAACGTTTGTGTTATGTCTTGCCTATGAAAGATTACTGTGGTTAAAGATTAAAAAAGACTAAAAATCTTCTCTATTTCAATAAAACCACCATAAGTGGCCAGACAATGCTGTGGAAATATATCACTCCAGATTTGCCATGCATTATTCAGAAAACTCTATACACTCCAATACGTTGCAATACGTTGCAATAATAATAAAGTTAATTACATTTATGCGGTGCATTATATCTGGGTATTGTCCCACTTCAGCACTCCCCCATACACGTGGTTGTTAAGCAGCCCAAAATATGAATGTCCCAGAGGGTCTTGTGAATATAGCATTATTAATGAATGAATTATGAGAGAGATGGCCCAGCACACTGACAAAACATTTAGATTTTGATGATGTGACATCCCTCCACAGCGAACTGTGTGAATGCAGAAACTCGCATTCAGCCAAGTCTCAATACAGAGATGTAGTACACATCTCTGTATCTGGATCAGTCCTGCACAGCACAAAAAAAGTCCAAGAAAATATTCTGTCAAGATTCGTTTTCTACTTTTTGCCTCACAACAAATGTATTTACCTTTCCCCACCACTCCCTCACTTCAAAGAGCGCTCAGTGAAGGGAGTGAAGGGAGAGCGCGTGACTTTAGAGTGAACATTAGGAGAAGGTGGGACTGTCTCGGCTGCACTGATCCTCACAACTGTATCTCGTTTGAATCGCTTATATTGCAAACCACAAACTTTAATCTTTTCCAACAAAAAACTATGAGAATGATTGAAATTGATGAGGCTGTTTGATGTCCAGGATTGGGTAGGTGTTACCTTGGATACAGGCCCACTCCGATCTCCTGCAGCTCCCCATCACTGATGGTGAAAGAATTGCACGTCACCTGACAGAAAAATGAAAAAAGAAGAAAACTATTGTTTATAATATTGATAATAGCTGTAAAACATGTTTCCAGATGCTATGACCCACACTGTGTATAATGTTATTAATTAGGTGCCAATGTAAACACATTTCAAAACCAGTTTTAAAAGAAGAAGGGCAGACTGCAATAAGTTTTGACAAGGCACTTGTAAAAAGAATACATGCCTTTGAAGTTCCTCTAACAGAGCGGGTCCAGCTGCTGGTAAACAGGAGTGTTTTGGGGAAAATGTCAGCGCACAAATAAATAAGTACAACTGCAGGGAAGATCAGTATTCGTATGTCACATTAAAAGACGACAAGGGATCTATGGGCGCAAAGATGGATGCTAAGATTAGAAGAGGAGAAGCAGACAGATGTTTTCCATCCGGCTAAAAATCACAGCACCAACACAATGATTTCATTTGAATCCTTACTCTAATAAACACCATTAGAGCTGAGGCCTCACGGGAATATGAGGCATTTCAGTGACAGGAGAAAACTTATTACAAACTAAATCCATGATAGAATCTTCCCAACGCTGAATCCCATAAACAATGCATTAATGTGTCAGTCTGTTCATTTCACACACGTTCGGTCATTGTAATTCAGTTGTGCTCATCGGCATCCATCATGTCTGCCATAAGAGCTTTGATAAAATATGGAAACAGATAAGACCTCATAAAGGAATGGCTAAAGATAGTGTGAGTAACCGCCAAGTGTCACTGTGCAACACTATCACGTATATGAAAATATTACCACTTTAAATCAGACACCATATATATTTTCATATATTGCGAACAAAATACGGAGGCAGGCCACTTTTTCTGGACTCTGGATCACATTTTAAACAGGAGCTGTCTTCAATTAAATTAATACATGTTGATAATGGCCATATTTGTTTATTTCAATTTCAATTTGGAGTACCTTTCTTGTACCTTGCTCTCAAAACTGGTTCTATCACTAGTTTTCACAGGCCCTGATTTTTGGCCTCTGCCATATGTTTAGATCAGAAAAGTGAAAAAGAGAGGACCACCTTAAAAAGCTCTCAGTACATGAAAGATAACATGCTTTCTAATGCGAAGAAGACGCCTTTTCTGATTTGTTCACCAAATGTTACTTACACAAGACATTTTCTGTTGTGACAAACATAATGTGATACAAAAAGAGTGTTTTTTTGATTGAATGAGTTTGATTTTAATACATTTTAAAACGATTTCCTCCAAGTCATTCTATTTACCCTTTTCAGATGTGTGTATCTCTACTTTGTTTATAATCATGTCTTTTGAATGTATGATTGCTTATACTTTGTATGCTTTCTTTGATTTTTGGAAGCACAAGTTTGTATGAATTGTGCAGTACATTTAAACAAGGGGCGACAGTTGCTCAGTTGGTAGAGCATTGGCCTCTGAGCCTAAAGGTCGTGGGTTCAAGCCCATCACAAGACCTACTTCACAACTCCCACTGATGTCTGCTGTAGTTGAGTCCTTGGGCAAGACACTTAACCCCACTTTGCCTGAAGCCCCCGCTGAAAGATCAAGGCTCCTGTGGACTCACCACCTGCAGGAGGATCAGTGAGGGGCTGCTGCTCTGACTGCCACCCCCCCGACCCAGACATAGATAAAGGGGAAGAAAATGGATGGATGGATATAAACGTGCCTTGCAGATGAACCCACTCCTGGCGAAATGAGATGGACATAAAAACATGAGAGATGCATAGGTCTTATATTTTGCTGAAAAAACAAGGTTAAGGAAAGAACAACACAAAATGCAAAAACGTCATTGTTTGCCGCCTACAAATATGTTTTTGGTCTTTTGTGCTCTTCCCCGCAGGCTTCACCTTATTAACAGTCAGTGATGGCAGGTTAGGATGATAGGCGTGGCACTACACACAGGGCATTAGGCATGTTTTTGAGAGGAGCACATGGGAGGCGACAGATTGTGGAGTAAATTTACACAAGCAGAGGTAGGGCATGGAGCTGGGCAGAAACCACTGCGCCACACCAACACACACTCATGCTCGCCGGGGCCTCTGGAGGGTTGAGAATCAATTTAGCAGAACATCCACATCTGCAGCGCTGGATGGCATATGCCTGCTGAATCTCTAATTCAAACACATAGACACAAACACCACATGCAAATAAAAATGTGAGGATGGCCTTCAAGCTCTTGTAATCTTTTGTCAATCCTTTTTGTTGTCACTCTCAAATTATTCTCAATCGCATAAAAGGTTATTTTTGTTTAATGTCAAATTTATTTCAACCCTATTTCACTATGAGTATGGTAACCTAAGATATCATCATGAACAGTGTATTTCTTTCCAATGTCTACAAGATGAGGCTGTTTGTGTATTTTTTTAAGAATTAAGGATCAAAATAGTTACCACAAGACGTAGTGACTGTTATTTTTTGCAGGACTTGTATAGGAGTAATGTATAGTTCCATTAAGAAGAATTCCTTTTGATAAAAACCATTAGGGAAGAGTTCTTCATTGGATGCAGGTCTAAAAGAGCCAAGCACTGTTAGTAACCATGGCGGTGGTCCCTTTCATTAGAAATTGTAGTGCAGATTATCTTGTTATTAGAGCTCTTCAATGCCCTTTCATTTTCAGATGTTTTTGTTATTAAAAAAAGGTGGACAAATCTGATGTTAGTTAATTGATTTTATTTTGATCCATTGCTCCAAGGAAAATGGGTTCACAAAGTTATTCCGACAATGAATTATACCATAAACATAACCCATATAGGTTGAACAGAATAAGAACAATGTATTTATAAACGCCAGGGCGTAATTAAAGAAAATAGGTACTTTTGAATAAACAAGAGAGTGCATTTTGGCCTTGGAAGGATCAGTGTTTCTGTCGTGTCTGTACTGATTTGTTCATTTGATTGTCACATATTATTTCAGCTGATTGGGTTTTGATTAAAGTTGAATTGGATATTGATGAGCAGCAGCATGAGCAGACTGTGAAACTGGTTTGACAAGCAATGTTTTTTTGGTGTCAACAATAAAATGACCATTCATCAATGCACTGTCCCTCACATGCATCTAAACCGGTTTACTGTTTTTTTTTTGTGGAGGCAAAACGGATCAAACGACTGCAGTGACGTTGGTGAGTGAATAGCTAGGGGTCTGACACTGAACGCAGCAGGAGGTCCTGTGATGCCCAAGCTGTGCCATAGGGCAGTGAGCTCGGCCAGCTTAAAAAGTGCAGCTGGATCCATCATCTCTTTAATGTTGCAGGGAACGATTCAACTATTGTCAATCCAGGAAATACAGTTAGGCGTAATGTCAACCATCCCACAGCACAAAAACAGCTTCATATCTGTTCTTTAAAACATGAATTAGAGTTTAACGACTGTTTTCCGTTTATTAGCCTGTATTGTGTATTCTGGCCATTTGTAATGCAGTTCTAAGAGATGAAGAAAATAATTTCTAGAGTGTGTTTATTTGTGTCCAGCATTATTTGTACATACTGTATTCTCTCATGTTTACAGATGCACAACGCCCACAGTAACGTCATTGAAGACATGTAGGATATACATAATGAATAGTACATGTTAGCGGAGCATCAGAGCTATGTTCTGTTCAGTAATTACCAGATGCTTCACTCACATATGCATGTACAAAACCTGAGCTGTATCTAAACACGAGTCTGCCTTCTACAATCATTTATTGCCGGCAAATATAAAATGATGCATCAATCAATCCAATCAAAAGAAAATAAGCTAACATACAGTACATTTGTTGAATCTTAAGCAGAACATGCTTAAAATGTACAGTTTCCTGCCCCATTTCCAACTGACAGCTAGTGTATACACACAGCACAATGCACCAAATGTCTTCGAGGAGCTTGGTGTAAGTCTGGGCAATGTCAACTTTATGTACACATATTTTATTTTCTTATATATTGTTTGGTTTGATATTACCACCCACTATATTCATCCAATTTGTATTAGCAATATTATATTGTTGATCTTTACTCCAACTGGGCTGTAATGCAGGGCATCCTGGGTAACTCCAGACACCCTCTGCATGACACTATGGCTGCTCAGAGGAGTAATCAAAGCAACAGGCTCCTATCACTACGCTGCCGAACGGAAGGTTTAAAAAGATCCTTTGTTCCTTCGGCTGTCGGAATGTACAACAGAGCTGGATGAGTTTTCTGCTGCTGGACACTTGTGTGTGTGCGTGAGTGAGTGTGCGCACGCAAGTGTGTACTGAGGTGAGCAGAGGGTCCGAGAAAAACCACAGATAGGGATGGCTTTTGGCAGAAGACAAAAACAGCATTTACCATCTCAGTATTGTATTCTTTAGAGGAAATTGTATTTCACTGCTTGACTGCTCATGTGCAGTTTAAATCAAAGGCGTTTGGTGGGGCACTGCTCTCTGACTGTAGCTTCCTCTGAGGGTTTCCCACTAGGCAATTTATGCAACCACAACTTCCTGCTCATATAAGGAGTCATCCAGGAACTTAAAAAACTAATTAGATTCAGAAACACTTCATTGCCAATGTCAGTGAATAAAGTCACAAAGAAAATGTTCTTTCTAATTTGGACAAGTTGATGGGTACAGATTTATGTTATTATTTCCTTAGTGTCCTTGATCCTCACAAACCTGGCTCTGAGCCCCTCATGCTTGTTTCCATACACATTTACTTTGGGATAACTTTCTGTAAGCTATTTGTGAAGAATGGTCTTTAGAACTGTTATGAATACTGTAAGCAATACCTTTATTTGAGTTTGTGTATATACTACAGTGCCTTGCGAAAGTATTCGGCCCCCTTGAACCTTTCAACATTTTGCCACATTTCAAGCTTCAAACATAAAGATATAAAAATTCATTTTTTTGTCAAGAATCAACAACAAGTGGGATACAACCGTGAAGTGGAACAAAATTTATTGGATAATTTAAACTTTTTTAACAAATAAAAAACTGAAAAGTGGGGCGTGCAATATTATTTGGCCCCCTTGCGCTAATACTTTGT